AAATTGATCACAAACGAATTTCAGGAAATTTGATCGTTGAGATCTCTGTCTTCTCGTAGTTCACTATTACTGCAACGATTGGATTTTCCCAAGAACTGTTGGTCGTAACGCTAACCACAAGTGCGGTCTGTCGTTTCCGTACATCTGCTGTCCTGCGGCGTAGTTCCGTGGTGTGATGCTAGCTGCGGTGTACATCGTTCAACCGATCAATATTTGACTCTCAGGCCATCGAGGTTAGCGCGACCAATCACGTGTGGTTTACTCGCAGTGCCGGCGGTGTTGCGGCACCGTGATTGGGTTACTTCCACTACTGTGCTCTGTGCCAGCACGTCCTAGTGTGCACGCTCGGGTTTCGTGATTTACGGCAGATATGGCGAGGTTGTCGGTAGTTGCGGGATTTGTAGAATGCACACTCACATGACTCCCGTTTGAACAACTGTCCTCCTGAATCGGCGCAATCAATCAGGTGAGGTCACACCAAAGGGGGGAATCACTGGACTTGGGTTTCGCTCTTATCAGAGCTCATGAGCAGTGCATACCCTAGCCGTGCCGGAGTTTGAACTCAGCACATCTGATATGCGATGCGAGCGTGTTGCCCCCACTCCAACAGCGCATACTGGACGCATCTGAATTTATACGTCTGAGCAGGGAAACATAATCGCGCTTCACTGATGTGGGGGGAAAGCCCGACGCCTCGAACGGCGACTCAGTATCATGCCTTGGTTGTGTCAGTCGATTGACCCGCCTGTCAGGACTTCCCAGTCAGGTAGCACCAGACGATTGAAACGTGCTGGATTAACGAAGCTCTCGTTAGCCTTACGTACATCCAGTGAATTCTGAAGCTTTTCTGGCTTGCTGAGAAAACCAGCTACCAATGTCGAATGTTATTCAAGGTAGACCTTTACATTCAAGCATTTCAAGGATCATTACTGCCACAGAAGACGAGATGTTTGAGCAAGATGATACAACCCCCCCTTGTCAGTTCTGATGTGTGAAGCTAGCAGACCCCTTATCTCAGTAGACAGGATCACATAAGTAAGCTGCTCATGTAAGGTGCTATCAATCCGCCAGCACCGGTCGGTCTGGAAACCGAAATGTTTAGTATATGAGAGGGCCGTAGGCTGTAGGATTTGGCCATTAAGAGCCGTAGGTTGTTGCAGGTTAGGGGCTTCTAGTACTGTTGTTTTCTTAGTGTTGCTTCTCAGTGCGATTGCCCTTCCAGTGAATCGTTATACGAAAGATTCTGCGACGCATAGGCTTTAGTACTGGATTGCGAAATTTCCGACTTCCGTGTCATAGAGACTTTCTCGGGAAGCCGTTCGCGGACTCATTTTCAGCTAGGGCTGATGCTGTCAGCTTGGTGGACAAGCTTGCTCCGGACGATCAAACATGATGTCGACGACTTGAATACCCACCCTTAGCACACGTCGACGGAAAGCAAGTTGTGCGAATCGACTTCGTTTCAGATCACTATGATTTTGTGATTCAACACATCAGTGGATTCAATCCATCTGCAAGCTAGAAACAACTCCACATCGGGAGAAAAACCGGATGTTCATTCAACCGCCAAATTGCAAATGATTAGCGCAAGACGTGAAGCGCAGTCGGAGCCATCGACTTTGCTGGATCTTAATCAAATCAGGTCGGCCATAGACTGTGCTTGTCACCTACGCCTACTTCTGATTTCAAACGGACGGAAGTCAAGAAGCGTTGAACTGTACGTTATGGAGTGAGAAGCGCTGCAGCGTGGTGGCTAGCCGAATAACCAAGTACTTTGGGTAGGCGTTTCAGTTATTATATAATGGGAAACTGAATCGTTCTCTCGAATTACTCTTCAAGAAGCTTGAAGGGAAATTATCATTAGTGTTACGCGAATCGACTCTGGTTTTCTACCTTAATGAATCCATAATCTCAAGCCATACGTGACCCTTAATGACGACTTAAGCTACTCTGAGCCCCTTTTACATTTCTAACTTCATGTCAACAGCAAACTCAGGACGATATTCCGACAAAGAGTCCTATCCCCGTCCATTCGTGATTCCACAGCCTGTGAACTGCTGCCAACTCTCCTCAGTGCTGTTTGGGCTGTACGTTCAGCTGGTGGGTCCCGCATCTGCACGGTTTTAAGTGAGAATAGCTCTACCAAACACATCTGACACTCAAATACACGCTGAGGGGATCAAACGACTATAAGAGTAGTTGGGTTAAATTCGGTCATGACAACTTTCGCCGTGCTTCAAGGAACAATTTTTGGAGCGAACACCGGCTTCCTTGTAACTGCGCACACAGGGAGCGGTTAATCAAAGTTTACGCTCGGGTTGACTGACTGTAATGCATTTGCTGCTTTTCTGGGTACTCGCAGGTTATCACTGTTTCCATCCTCAACTCAGGTGAACCATAAGTAAGAGTGACTAGTTAGTGAATGGTACTGACAATCCAGTCTACCGCATTTGTCAACTAGAGGGAGTAGTATTGAATCCGAGTACCGAGGATACCCAGCGCAGCTCAATGTCTGAAATCGGTCAGATCAACAAAGTGGTCTTGAGGGGTTTTCGCCTTCTTTTTAACATGCAGGATTACAGTTCATTAGTCTTACGGAGGCGGATGACATTGAAAAGATGAGCGGCGTCGATAGCTTCTTGCGAACTGTGACAATGTGAGTAGTCGCGGTTAAATGGAATCCGTAGCAGAACAAGGGAGTAGGTTCAGTGTTAAATACGCCAACAGTAGGATAGTTTTGATCAATACAGAGTTCATCAGAATGAATATTCCCTCAATAGGTGAGAAATCCGCAATGGAGACACAAAACAATCCTTTGAATTTTTGGTCTCAGTACTGTTTTAGAGAAGGTCGCGTCAGTAGGTTAGTTGAGCAAGGTGTTTTTGGTTCATCACTGGCATTTGAATTAATGGCGGCCTAGAGAGTGAATAAACGCGAGCGGTGATGAACAAATGTTTATATCAAGTCTGCAGGGACTCGATCTATTTCGATCGCGCATGACTGATGTGTGTCAAGCTGGATGTGGAGAGCAAACCGGACAAGTATTTTGACTACTCAAAAGTAGGCTCATATTTTGCCATTTTGACTGTCGATTCTTGAGCTGACAGCACACGGCGTGCTTGCAAATGGGTAGTCCAGATTCCGCATCGGCGTCTAGGATACCCTAGTGTTTGAAGAGCGATGATATCATCATCCAGTTGATTCTTGTCCAAGAACCTCCATCACCTGAAGTGAACTTGAAACCTCCGGCAAATTCAGTTGTCGGACAGTGTGCACCACGCGTGCTACATCGCGAGTGCGCTCACGTGCCCCGTCTTCATCGTTTGGGGGGGGGGGGTAGGGCACATCAGACTTCAACCTATTGGTTTCATTTTTATACACATTCCCGCACTAGCACTGTTATCTGGAGCTGATTGGTCAGGTTTCTCCGGGCAAACGCAGGCCAGAGGACGCTACAACAAGGACAACCCGGGTACCATGAAAATGCAAACGAACTGTGAGATTTTCCTGTCCAGTTAACCACCGGCGGGCTGATTTGTGAATTTAGGTATGATCTACCGTTTAGATGGCAGCGTTAAGTATGCAGAACGGAACAGTTAAGTGAGGAAGACCATCTGGTCTTGGCATCAAGAGCGGCATTAGCTTGTGATGCGATCCTTTTTGAACCCCAGCCCGATAAAAAGCATCGGCGCATGCTTAAATGGTACAAACGGAATCAGCAGTCACAGCTCAGTGGTTACTCAATACCTCACTCGCCAGAAACCGTACATAGGATCCATGGCCAGGCGGGACCACGAGGTTGGGTCGGATGGTTGTAGACGTCTGACTGTATAAAACGGCTGTCGTAGGCAATGATAATTCCGTACAGTGAGATCGTACGACCTACCAACGTGTAAATGACACACGCCTTCACTAACTGGTTAACAAACCCGGTTACCTCGTGCACCCAAACACTGTTCAGGTATCCAAAACTATTCTAAGTCATATCATGGTGCCTACATACGTACATGCGAACAGATAAATGCATGGCGCGAAGTACACTCGTTTGCAAACTAGCCTGGTTTCTAAGAAAACTCAACCGAATCCCCGCTAAGTCTTTCGTTTGTGATATTCTTCAACTGAGTATGCTGCATAAAAGCTGCCCTATTTTTCAGTTGGGACGATATTTGAGATATCGGAGTATATTTTCACGATAAGATACACTACTCATAAGCCTGCTGCCGGACCGGCAAGCGGCCCGAACTTCTGGTCAATCGTTTGCGGGATAGGCTTCTCGGCCGTAGAAGCAACTAACTGCGAGCGGTAAGGCGGTATCGGTGTAGAATTCCGAGCCTAGCCGATACAATGAAACACAGGTTGGATGATTATGAATCTCGTGGACGTGTGATAATACTTCGCCTTACATTGAATTGGTTTGGTGTTTTGTTATTGTATGACTTAAACTGGAATGCTGCATTCTGGCGACAAGACGACAGCCAATGAGATGGGTTAGACTAATTGAGTGAGGCGTTTGACGGGCTGCCTTTGATGTGAACTAAAGGCCACAGTTTTAAAGTGCACATGAAAAGCAAGAGGCCTTCAGTGAAATGACGAGAAGCAGTGAGCCAGGCTCACTTTGGTAAGCTCGAAGGTCCACCAGTTTGAGGTACACTGACGGGGTCACATGAAACCCAAAGTGAATAGGATAAGTAAGGCACTACCTATCCAGTTAAGCTTCCAAGAAATGTGCTATCCAACTTCACATTCACAGCGACGGAGACAACGGAAGTGCACTTATTTTAGCGAAGAGTGTGATAAGTTATTGGTGACTTGATTTGATATTGGCGGACCTACGTTATCAAATCAGCCTCATCCAGAATAGGAAAGCCTTCGGAGAACACGATCACAGCAGACCCAATACCCAAAAGAACCGACTACCTGGGGAGGGTAACTTCAAACTCATACTCACCAAATGGTCCCCCGGGACCTAAACCCAAATACGGTGAAGCAAGACTTCAGGAAGGACATCTAGTAGCATGAAAAATAGAAAAAATAACATGGCTGTACAAAAGTTGTCACAAAACACACAACAATTCAGTTAGGTGTCAAAGGCGTCACGGAATTCCGAACAGAGTCGCATCAACGATCTGGTTCGTTCAAGGACCAGGAGACAAGTTGTCACAAACACACAACAATTCAATTAGGTGTCAAAGGCGTCACGGAATTCCGAACAGAGTCGCATCAACGATCTGGTTCGTTCAAGGACCAGGAGACAGAGATCATCAACTGTAGGGAA